GGAACTGACTCAACAGCACTTAACAACAACAGCAAAGTAAGCCTTGAGGAGCACAGTCACTTCATATGATAAGTACCACAAGGTCCGTGGTTTGAGCCCACTAGTCGCTCCGCAGGACTTTCTGTTGCTGGGAAGATATAAAGCCTTGGAAGCTCTATACTTAACAACAACAATTCTACTTCATCATTGTCCAAATGAGGAAACAAGTTCAGAGAAGGGGAGTGATTTACCTGAGATCACACAACCAGTGGCTGAGACCCAATACTCCTCTCCTACCTCTGTGGTCCCTGAGTTGCCCTCTCAAAGGATGAGGACTTGGTAATTCTCCATCCTTTCCCCATTTCTCCACTATTGTGGTTAATTGCTCTCAAGTCAGTTCTGACTCATAGTGACCTTGTATGGCATTTCTAAGGAGAGCTGGTGGGTTTGAACCACCGACCTTATGGTTCACAGTCCAGTGCTTATCCTATAGTGTCACACAGGAGTCTGTGTTTCCAAAAAGCTCCCAGCTTTTTGGAAACTCTTACACCTGTTTCTCACTCTCTTCAGGTGGAGAACCAAACAAAGCCTTGTAAATGAAGGTGTGAATGTCCAGGCACCTGTCTCCTCCTGGTACTGTGGCAGGGTGTGTGGGTGAGGAGATTGCAGCTGAATGTTTAGATATGGGAGAATGGAGTGCTGGTTTCTGGGGTGGAGGGGATCTGGAATATGTTAGCACCTAGATTTTTGTCTGTATTACCTTTAAGGGAAGAGCCCCTCAGCTTTGGTACCCAATCTTCAGGAAGGAGGTGGGACTAGTGCTTACTTTCCCTCTCCCCTTGTGAATCTGCCCACAATCCTGAGTTTAAGTTCACACCTCCCTTGGATAGCTCTCAATCAGAGTGAAGAAGTGCTACGTACGTACCACTCATCCTTCCACCCGGTAACATCAAAAATTTAAGAGCTCCATCTTAAAATCAATTATTCCAGCTAAATTGACCTGTTTATGTTTTTAATACCTCAAAAACTCACTGCTGTTGAGTAGATTCCAACTCACAGTGATCCCATATAGGGTCTCCTAGATTATAAATCTTTCTAGAAACAGATAGCCCTATCCTCTTACAGGGCTGCTGGTGGGTTTGAACCAGTGACCTTGAGGTTAGAGGTTCAACACCTAACCCACAGAGCCACCAGAGCTCCATCAAAAAAAAAAAAAGTCTATAGATTTTATTGTTGTTGTTAAGTTGTTAAGTTTTGTTGTTAAGTTCCGTCAAGTCACTCATAGTGACCCGGTATAGGGTTTCCAAAGAGTAGTTGGTAGGTTTGAACTGCCGACCTTATGGTTCACAGTCTAGTGCTGATCTTATAGCACCACACCAGTAATCTATAGATTTGGGAGGCTCTACCACTATTTAGGAGTCCTGGTGTGGTGCTGTCAGTTAATGCGCCAGACTACAAAGCAGTTTGAACTGCAAGGTTGGTGGTTCAAGCTCACCAGTTGCTCCTTGGAAACCCTATACAGGGTTGCTATGGACTGGAATCAACTCGACGGCACTTAACAACAACAACCACTATTTAAGCATCCTGACTCCAAGCAAGTTATCTCTAAAGAGATGAGGCACATGATTTTGACCTTTTTTCAAAGTGCCTCTGCGGGAGCCCTGGTGGAGCTCTGGTAGCGTAGTAGTTACGAATTGGGCTATGAACCCTAAGGTCAGCAGTTCAAAACTCCCATCTGTTCCGCAGGAGAAAGATGAGGCTTTCTGCTCCCGTAAAGATTTACAGCCTCGGAAATCCTGTACAGGGTCGCTATGAGTCGGTTCCGACTCCACAGCACATAACCACCACCACCACCACTGCAAGGTCAGTGGTTCAAACCCATTAAACTGCTCCATGGGATAAAGATGAAGTTGTCTGCTCTCCATAAAGATTTACAGTCTCAGAAACCCTATCTGTAGGGTCACTGTGAATTCAAATTGACTTGATGGCATTAGGTTTGGTTTGGTGTTTTTGAGGGACTCCATTAGGAGTCCCTCAGCACTTGTCTGCCAACCAAAAAGGTCAGCAATTCGAACCCACCATCAGCTCCACAGGAGAAAGATGAGGCAGTCTGCTTTCAGAAAGATTTATCGCCTTGGAAGTAAGGAGGGGCAGTTCTACTCTGTCCTCTAGAGTTGCTCTGAGTTGAACTCGACTCAAAGGCAGTGGGCTTTTCACGACAGGATGCTTCTGTCATCTGTGTTGTGCCAGCGTCCCCCTCCATAGTAAGAGTTAGGTCAGCAAGTGCTGAGCTCTGCAAGGAAAAGGATCATAAAGACTCACCCTAAATTTTGGGAAAAGGCTTTTTTGTCACAGTTCAGACTGAGAAGTACATTTCTTATGTTTTCTTTTAGAGTTAAGAAGTACATTATGTCCTTTAAACCACAACCCCTCCTTCTATAGGATGCTAACTCATTCTATTTTCAGTGGAGACTAGATAGGGAGATTAGTGTGTTCTTTCTTCTAAAGGACTAACTAACATTTCAAGGAGCTCTGGTAGCATAGTGGTTACGAATCGGGCTGCGAACCTTAAGGTCAGTGATTCGAAACTACCAGCTGCTCCGCAGGAGAAAGATGAGGCTTTCTAGTCCCGTAAAGATTTACACCCTCGGAAACCCTGTATGGGTCACTATGGGTCGGAACCGACTCGATGGCACTTAACAACAACAACAAAGATCAGGCTAAGTACTGGCCTGTTAACTGTAAGGTTGGCAGTCTGCTGGTGCACTCTTGGAAACCCTATATAGGGCCCCCTATGAGTTGGATTTGACTCAGTGACGGTGGATTTGGTTTGGGTTAGAAATCAAGAGAGGAGCCCTGGTACCGCAGTGGTTAAACGCTCAGCTGCTAACTAGAAGGTCAGTAGTTCAAACCAACCAGCTGTTTTGCAGCCATAAAGATTACAGCCTTGGAAACCCTGTGGGGCAGTTCTACTCTGTCCTGTTATGAGTTGGAATCAACCTGACCACAGTGGGTTTGATCTGGGATAGAGATCAAATTTGCTTAATCCATCCCCATCAATTTTTTTTTTTTTCAACCCCGAACTTCTAACCCTTTACCCTTTTTATTCCATCCTTCTGAGCAAGTCCCAGGTGTTCAACACCACGATGAACAAAAGTTAATGTATCCTTCTTGCCCTCTGACCTGGCCAGTCCTGTGGTGTCCAAGCTGCAGGCCCTGGAAGAGGGAAGTGAGCTGGCGGAGGGCAATTCCATTTGGAGCCTCCCGTTGTCTCCATGTCCTTTTCATCCTTCCTGGAGCCCGGAGGTTCTGACTGCTGGGTGATGGAAAGGTTAAACTGGTTGGGCAGGGGAGAATGGGGGAGCAGAATCTAAACTGGGCAACTTAGTGGCAGGAACAAAGCGGGTATTTGTTGGGTTTTCCTCCTGCCTGGGAGGCTGTTCCCGGACCACGGCATTCCTGGGTTGGACAGAGTCAGCTCAGCGTGGTTGTCCCCACTGCTGTTGTAGCAAAAGCTGAGCATTCAATCACTGCCTTTCCATATAGGCTATGCTTAGGGCCCTACTCAGAGGGTGCTCTCTGCTTGGTCAGAACTCAACACATAGGCATTAACAATAAATTCAAATTCAAAAAGGGATAGTTCCTAAACAGGGAGAGGGCTAGAATCAAGCCTGTTGTTAAGAGCTGTCAAGTTGGAGACCCCTTTATAGCGTTTTTAAGGAGCAGCTGGTGGGTTTGAACTGCTGACCTTGTCATTTGCAGTGTAGTACTGAACTTACAGCGCCACACCAAGAATCTAGAATCAAGCCTAAGGAGACAGTTTTTCAAGAACAGTTAGTCGTAAATAGACCAGAATGGTGCATCAGATCAGGGCAGAAAAGCTGCTGATTTGTAGACCATCTTTCACCATTTTCTCTTCTTGAGCAATGGAGAGGTGCAAACAGGCCAGGAAAGATGTGGTGATCGGTGGAAGCAATATAAGGAAGCATGGGTATTCAGAAGGGGTAGGATATCTCTCTTGGAATTAGGAAGAGGGCTTCGAGTCATGGCCAACGAAATGAACCTGGAACACTCGATTTTTAAAATTTGGGTGATCCAGAATGCTAATTTCAACAGTAATAACTACAGGTCAGAGCCCGGGAATGAGAGACTTGGAAGAGGTGTAATGAGCCCTTTCAAGAGCCGGATGTGTGACATTAGATTATTGCCAGAACTGTGGAGAGACACACAAAGCAGTGTGATGGGCTACCATCTTTGAGCAGGGCACAGTTAGTTTTTACTCAGGTTGAGATGTGGTTTCTATGTAATACACATTTCCCTTGTTTTCTAACAGGGAGATTAGGTTTCTAGCAGGGCTTCTACCTACAATTTCTCCTGTTGTAGTGAGCTTACCAGTTCACCCACATTTTAAAAATTTGAGTCTATTCTGGTGTCAGATATGACTGACCCACGCTGAACTGGTTTCAAAGCCCTGAATAGAAACCACAAGTCCTAAAGCAAAGGGACAGGAGCCTAAGCTTCAATAATAGCTTATACTCACTCAGGTTATGGGAATAAAAAACAAGTTAGTGTGGCATTTGTTTTAATTTTTATTAGAAAACCCCATTTGGTAAATGCTTCCCTAACACAGAACTGAGTCTGGGTAGCCTCCAAGAGTCCCACAGCTTTCATTTTATCTTCATCTTCTTCTGAGAGGGGAGAGTGAGAGGTGGGGGTGGTGTCAGGCAGTCTCTGAAGTGCCCCCTCCTGGACCCCTGAGAGTTCACATTGCCAGCAATGTCCCCACCAACCCCTCCAAGGGGCAAGGTTGTTGCCAAAGGCATTCCTGTTTGTATGGCTTCAGGATGGAACCAAGGAAGCTCACACACTCCTAGGCCTGTTCCTTCACTCTGGTTGAGAGCAGAGCAGGATCCAGGAGAAGGTGGCCAAGGGCTAAGGGGGAAGAGATTGCTTTTGAGATACCCTTTGGAGTCTGGAAAGCACCTGGATTTCTTGGGAAGGGAGGGCTGTGGAAGGCCCACTCAGTTCTTCTTGGGTTTAGGAGTGTCGTATTTCCTCTTGCTGGAGTACCACAGCAGCAAGGGGATGCCGATGGAGGGAAGGGTCATGACCCCAAATGCTGCCCAGTCCAGCTGTAGAGAAAAAGAAAGGCTTTGCTTACAAGTCTGGATTAGAGCATGGAAGAGAATCAGGAAGGAATGGCTACAATGAGTCCAAACTTTAAGCAGACCATTGGCAGGTAGGTTCCTCTCTAACGACCCCTAATACAAAACAGTTCTCTGAAGACTAATCTATCATTCAAGCTATGAAGCCAAAGGTGAGGACCTGATCCAACCTAGACTGTAAGAAGAACTGATCTTTTCCAAACAATCTTTGGGAAAGGAGATGTCCCAGCACCCTGCCACTGATGGTCAGGCCTCCTGCGATCTAAGCCTGCTTACATCTCTGAAACCTCTCTTTGATACTCTAGTCCTGGGCTTCACATCCTGCCCTCCAGCCTTGCCATTCCTCGATTGCACCATGCTTTTCTCACCTCTGAGCTTCTTCCTTTTCCTCGAATGCCTGTCTTCCCACACCCTCTCTTTAACTGATTAACCCTTACCTCCTCCCAGAAACTCTCCCTGATTCTCAAAGACCAGGTTAGATGTTCCTGCTCTATGCAAGCCCAGCACCTCGCATAAAACCTCTACCCCATTTACTTGTTCTGAGTTCTTCATGGGTCATATGATCTCTAATGGCAGGACTTCATAATTACTCACTGAATGAATAAATGAATTCCCTGAGTGGTTTAGGCAAATCTCTACAAATGTTCTCCTAGACTTGTTCACAACAAAGTTCCCACCTAACCTTCCCACTGCTCTGCTGCTTTTTAATTTTTTTTTTAACTTTTTATTGTGAATTCAGTGATAGGTTACATGGGAGAACATCAATTTTACACTCATCCTATCATAAATAGTTTCATTGCAATGATTACAATCCCCTCCGTGCATCATCATTTAACAGTATTTGCTTCTATTCCCTCTGTTGTGTTTTGTTGTTTTTTTTGATGTACAACAAAACACTCAGAAATATACAATTATTTAAACAACCAAAGGGCACACCCTGCAAGGCTGCCCCCCAGCGGCCAGCAAGAAACACATCAGAGTCTTCTGATGTCCTTTTAAGACCTCAATAGACCTAAGACTATCAGATAGGGTTATACTCAAGGCTGGGTAGAAAAGTCAGTATTTTGATTTTGGCAATTGTTATTCTCATTGCCAAGAGTCTCTGGGCGTGGTTAAATCAGGTTATTTAGCAGCTGTGTTTATTAGACACCAAGAAACAGAAACATAGCAAGAATTAGCCAACAAAACAAATCTTCTAAGGAGGCCAAGAGGTCCAGTAATGAAAAGGAAGTTCTTATACAAACAGAATAATAAGAGAGAACATGGCAAAACTTACAAAGTGGGGTGAGAATCTCCTATCAAACTCCCGCTGAGCCAGGATTCCTCCCTGTCCAGGGGCACTGGTAAAACCAACCTGAAAAGAAAAAAAGGGCTATAAGGCAAGTTGTAAACTCATCTCATTTTACAAAGGGCAGTCTCAGCCAAACAACCCTACTCTAAGCATTAGCTTCTTCGTTCCCAAAGACCCAAGAGAGCTTCAACAAGATAAGCAAAACCTTTTGAACTAGGGACAGTTGGATGATTCTCTTACTGTGTTGGGAAGAGGAGAAAACCAGGAGTCAGGAGGCCTGAACTACTTCTGCATATCCACTATATTATGAGCATTTCTTAAACAAGGTTAGTCAGGTATGGAACTGGAATGAAAAGCCAAATTCTTCTATCTTGGACATTCTGATGACTTCTGGCTCCTTAGCAAGGCCAATTGTGTAATTGAATGACTTGACCTTAGCAACCACTTCCTCAATTTTTAGGCAAAAATACTCTTCCTCTATGTCTCACAGGGTTGACATGAGGCTCAAATGAAATAATCAGAAGGACTCTGAGAAATATAAAGTATTAAAGCCCTACCCAAGTGTACATTGCTAGAGGAGGATCAGAATCTGGCCCACATTCCTTTGTCATGAAGAAGAGGCTAAGAGTTGGGAGCACATAGCAAACAATTTTGTTCTAAACTGATAACTTAGCCTTTGATTTGGTGTCTATTAACTCAGCAAGCACCAGCTAGAACTAAAGAATCCTGAGATTGGTTCTGACAGTAAAAATGACATGAGATGGGAAAACATTACCTTGGAGATCTATATGATTTATGAAAGAAAAGTTACATAGGAAAATTTAGAAACTGCTCTGATTGTTAGTGAATCTTAGATTTCTTTTAGTTCTGGGTTTGGCTGTTCTATCCCTTCCCTATTGTCCACTCACTGAGCAGCCCAAAGCTCATTTGTAAGGCCTTGTCGGAGGTCTTCATAAACTTTATGAGGCTGAGGCAGTGTCTTAATCTTTTCAACATTCCCTAGAGTCCAGCACACTCTATGGGCTACATAAATGTCTGTAGACTTTTACACTGATGAATCAAAAGACTACTCAGTTTTTGTTATATATGCATAAGTTTTAGAAACAGAAAATCTAAGCCAAAGTCCTTGACTGCAAGGAATTTTATAATTAAACTGGAGAGTAAAGAATTACATATAAGAAAGAGAACTACTGAAGGCAGTAACTAAAATGTTCAAGTGCCATAGACTATAAGTGCTACAGAAGCTTAGATACAGTCAAAGAATGTTTATTGAAAGAATAAAAAGAGCAATATGAATTGCAGAAGCAAGAACCAAGAAAATGCAGTTCAAATCAAGGTCTTGAGAAGGCTTTGGATAATGAAGTGGAGGAGAGAGTACTTCAAACAGAGAACAAAGGCAAAGAGGCAAGAAAAACACACTGAGCGGTGGGGAGGGGTGTAGCATGGAGCTTAGCCTATTTAGGATGGAACATCTGTGCAGTTAGTGAGGGAGAGGAAAGCTGAAGAAACAGAGAACAGTCAGAGGACTGGAGGGTGTGCAATGACAGGCAGAAAAACACAGTCTTGATGTGGTAAACAGAAATGTTCAAGCGAGGAAAAGACATGATTTATAGCAGGGATTGGGAATAATGTGGTAATGATATAGAAGAAGGACTGGAAGGGCAAGGATGCAATAAACTGGGCTGCAAAGGACACATTCCAGAGTAAGAGGAAAACAGAAAGAGAATGCTATGGTACTACCTTTTGTCCCTACAACTGCTCTATTCTGGGACATTACTATTTGAGACACACTTCTTTCCTTCCCCAGGTTTCAGTTCAATCTTATCTACCTATGGATTCAGGAGCTGCTCTGGAAATCTTAAGTTTTTAAGAAAAGACATACTGAAATTTGGCTGTGCCAGGAAAATTTGGGGGGCATCAGAGTCTCATCCAATTTCACCCAAAGGTTGGGACAACTCACCACAACAGGCCCATCCTCCTGGGCCAGGTATGTAATAGTCGCTGAGGTGAAGTTGAAGTAGCCAGCCTTGAGAGGGCGCAGGACCACGGTATGGGAGACATTGCTAGCCCTAGCCCAAGAGTTAAGGGAAAAAGATGAAGCCAAATTTTAATAGCCCTCCAGAACAGCGTTAATTTGTGAACTAAATGCACCATTCACAAAACAGTTGCCAATGCATGTGGTGCTTTCATACTTTCAATACTCTGTAGGTATGAAAAAATATAGACTTTTAAAAAATGTAGCAAGTATGAGGTATAATACGAGAATGAGACAAAAATTACCCACACTCTGGTTATATTAAAGCACCTGTCCACATCCACAGCTGATGACAACATTGAGCAAGCACATGAAATGATTCTGTCAAAGAGATGAGTGATAGTGAATTATATGGCAAATCATTTGCAAACCAGCCATGGCTCTGCCTATGAAATAATCCATGACAGACTTGGGTTTTGAAAACTTTGTGTGATATGGGTACCAAAGCAATTTATGGAAGAGCATAAACAAAAGCATTTGGACATCTGCAAACAAAATTTGGACAGATACTCAAAGAAAGGTAGAAAGTTTCTAAAAAAAAAAAAAAAAATTGTTACTGGTAACAAGACAGGGATTCATCACTATGAGCCTAAGAGTAAATAGCAGAGTATGGAAATGGAAACATCCTCAATCACTGAGCAAGAAAAAGTTCAAAAGTCTACCAACAGCGGGAGAACTGATGCTTAGTTTTCTGGGATTCTCAAGGACCTATATAGGAACACTATCCAGAAAAAGGTTCAAAAATCAGCAGTTCTGCTATCCACTGGCATGACAATGCACGTCCACACACCTCTGCCCACACTGTATACATCCTGCAAAAACTTGGTTTTGAGGTGTGAAAGCATGCTCCCTATAGTCCTGATCTTGCTCCATTAAACTTTCACCTGTTTGGTCCTCTGAAAGCAGCCCTTTGAGGACCAAGATTCACCTGTGATGAAGAAGTGAAGACAATGATGCATGCATGGCTCGCAGCACAGCCTAAAACATTTTTAAATGTTTTAAATAAGGGCATACGAAAGCTTGTAAACAGATGGACAAAGTGTATTGAAAAGTAAGGAGATTATGTCAAAAAAAGATGTATTTGTCTTTTCTAAAAGTTGATTAAAAATAAATTCTACAGCCAGAGTATGGATAATTTTTGATTCACCCTCTTTCTAGCCTCATTTTAAGGAGTTCATGATATACTTCGTATCAAGGGTCTGTTAGTAACCGTTCAAAGCAACGTATGATATGTATGAAAAGTTATTATCACTTAAACCCACAGAAAATCCTTCATTGGCTATAGCTGAAGGAAGTTCTTGAAAATAGAAATATACAAGTGAAAACAAAAGAGAATATTTACTTATATTGGAAAATCTAAATGTATTTAATTCACAAGGGGGGAAAAATCATCTAATTCAAAATACACAGAAATAATAACTGGCAGATCAGAATAAGACACTCACTGAACTACAAAAAGAGTGTAGAAGATCATCAGGTCCTTGCTAGCATTCAAATGAATTTCTTTTAAAAGCATTTAACATCCCTGTCCAGACACAGACATTTTCAGAAGAGTCTACATCCTCCTGTGATGCTTCAGGGCCTTATTATCTGTATCTGAACTTGAGGAACCTCCTTCCTCAGGTCTATATTAAATCACACTCGCATAATTTCCACTAGTCTTTCGTGGTCCATCCTATGGCAGGAGAATGGGCTTGAACACTCAAACTACTTGAAGTGGGCTTGCTACTTTAATGGCCACCTTCCCTCCCTGCCACAAGCCTCCATCAACCCAGTGCCAAGAGGATACGGTGCAATCCTGTCCCATTTGACATTGAGCATTCCAGAAACAATGCCAAAGTCTTCTGGAGGAAAGGAATCATCAGACAATTCCACATCTAATGCAGCACTAGGAAAAAGATGAAACAATAAGGGTTACTATGTAATGAATATACAATTAAAGCAACTGATAATCAAATGTACTCCTTTGTCCTAAAAACCGGAACTGTAGAACATAGATACTAGTTACATAGTAACTTGGGTTTGTGGCATTGAAGAATCCAGGTCAGGACAGATTCTATGGCTTCAAAGCACTAAAATATTTAAGTATCTAGGAAGAAATGAGCCTAAATCCATTCTTACCTCAATTTTTCCTCATGTATGAGGGGACTTCAAAAAGCTCATGGAAAAATGGAATTGAAAGATAATTAAATTTTCCCATAAACTGTTTAAAGCTCCCTCATGTGTGTAGAGAGAGGGGCATGAGGCGCAAGATGTATATGGAAAACTAAAGCGAATGAAATTAAAGAAAGGCAACAAACATAAATGTTCATCTACTAATGAAAGGAAGTTGAAACTTTAAACTCCTGAGATAACAAAAGAGTGGTCATTTCTATTTTTGCATAATGTTGAATTTTGCATACAAATTGGTCTTTGGAACCTAATCAAGATGATAAGTGAGGAGTCAGAGTATTTTCTGCCTCCTCATACTTTCATCAACTCATACTTCCTCCCTACTCTGAAATTTCTTCCAAACCAAAAAGCATAAGAAAGTTCTCTTTCAAGACTACTATATTCACTGATGATACCTGATGCTGAAGGCCTCCCAAAGAGAATTCACTACCCACCAGGAGATTCCCTGTTCCAGTTGGGAAATCTGAGAATCCAGAATAGGGGCCCAATCTGTAGCTCCAGGGCCTCAGATCCTTACTTACCTTGAGCCAACATTATAGATGTTATACTGTAAAGTCAGGTCTCGACCCTCCACAGCATATCTGTTTAGCAAAGATTTAGAGGCCAAAAGCCTGGCCCCCTCCTCTGCATGAGTGACAACAAATAGAGCCAGCAGCACAAATGCCAGCAACCTCATCTTTGGAGAGAAAAAGCAAAATGAGTAGTTAATACAAGTATGTGAAACCACTCAAATCTTCCTGTCAGCTGTTTTTAAAACAAGTCCTAGACCAATTTGGAGTCCTCGTGTGGTGCTGTAGGATAAACATTGGATTACTAACTGCAAAGTTGGCAGTTCAAACTCACCAGCCTCGAGTTGGAAACCCTATACAGAGTCGCTGAGTCGAAACAGTAACAACAGATCTCCTCTGATCCTATCAAAACAGCAGCCTCATTCACAGAGTAATCTATAGCCAACAGAGTTGAGCCGTTTGCAAGACTCTCCTACTAGAAAAACTAGTACTAGAAAACCGGTCTAAGTACTAGAATACATCTATTGCCCCTCTACCGGCAGGAGCCAGGGATGTTCACGTTCCCTAGTGGATGAGGTCCTGAGAAGACACAAATAGAGCTTTTCCTGGCTGATCTCGGATCTGAAGCAGCCTCTAAGCTTTCCACTACTTAGACGGCTGCTGCGTTCCCGTGGCAACTCTCCCCCTCGGCCCAGCTCCATTAGGATCCTACCTCATGCTCATGGGGATACTGCTACCAGTCCCTGCCTCTCACCCACTCCCGTTTCCCTTTCGTCTTCGTCCCCCCACATCTCTTTCTGGGTCCCTCGAGGGGGGCTCAGTCGGCTCTGATTCCTCCTGTCAAGATGACACGTCACTCGTCGGCTCGCCCCCTTCTTTATCTGCCCTCCCAAAGCTAATACCCAGCCGCTGGGTGATTTGCGAACACCAGATTATCCCTTCCTGCCCAGACCCCCAAAAGTATCAGGACTCACCGCGCGCATCCCAAAAACCTTTCAGGAGCCACCAAGACCGGAAGAGAGCGTCAGCATCCGAAAGACCGGAAAAAAGCTCTAGCCGGAAACCTCGGTACTCCGCGGGATGCCTTGTGGGGGTTGTAGTTCTTGTGGCAAGCCCCGCCTTTCCTTTTGCCGCGCTGGCCTGCCTGCATGATGGGAACGTTTCTAAAGCCCACTTATCTGTTTAAGTGTCTTCCGCTCCTTTCTTATTCTGCCCTTTCAGTTATTTGCCATTACTGTATGTGAGCAGCACCTAATTAGCCGTTCTGAGGCACTAACAAACCTAGAGATTTGGGTTATCTATCTAGAATGTCGAGTTTATTATCGTTGTAGAACTCAGAATTAGAGAAAAACTATTTTCTTTTAGGGCTACCAGCATATCTTCTATTATCAGGCAACAAACGTCATCATTTCCTATATCTAGCAAGTCATCAACCATAAGCTTTCTTTAAAAGCCCGTTGAAATACCAAAAAAGAAAAAATTCTTTCTCCTCTATTTCCACTGCCTCCACTTTAGTTCATTTACTGAAGTAGGCTGTCTTAGGTCTTTCCCTGAACTTTTCAATCAACAACCAGACAAAATTTTGCAATGAGATTATGAACAGTAGATCTTAGGTACACAGGACTGTAGAGTTATGCAGTCATGAGTTCAAGTCCCCGTTCTCTCACTTATTTGTTAGATAACTTTGAAACAAATGTATACTTAAAAAGTCTGGGTTCCCAAATCTGTAAAGTGAAGTCATTATGTTACAGCAGCTTTAGATCAGTCGCTGAAGAAACAGAGGCCACTCGGAGAGGTGAAGCAGAGTTTAAGATTTTATTAACCTGGCTGGCTCAGAAGGGCTAACTTCTCCATATTCTGAGCCCTGAGTGCAGGTCAGTACAAGCTTATGGGATCAGAATCAGGGAGGGGCTAGGTTGCCCACCTGTTTGAAGACAGGAGGGAAACCTGAAGATTGGTCCCACTCAGTAACCTGATTAACATTCTAGCTGATCTCTCCTGGGAGGGGAGACAGTAAGTTTATGTTTTACGTTTTCCTGTTCATTCCCCTCTTTGAGGCTTCCATTACTTAGCTAATTGGAGACTCATCATCTGGTGGTTCCTGTAGGAGTTGCAGGTACTTAACATAGAGTAATCATGAGGTTTCCTTTTGACTGATAATTGTTTCATTGGTGACTGATAATTGTTTCATTGGTAGTTCATATGGCCCTGATTGCTAGTGTGAGAACGCATGGAACGATTAGGTAAATTCCAAATAAAAACAGAACCCCACCTATGAGGGTCTTGAACCCTCTAAAGGCAGAGAACCATCCTCCCCATAGATTCTGGGGGGTTCCATCCATTCCAGGTTTGCACAGGGACATGGGCAACTTTCTGCATCTTTTTTTTTTTTTTTTAACAAGGTCTTTTACTGCCTGATCCTGGTCATCTATTTGTATGCAGCAGTTAGTGAAATTAAACTTCCCACATACTCCTCCTTCCACAGCCAATAAGTAGTCCAGGGCTAATCTATTTTCATAGATGGCATTTCGCATCTGCGTCTGCTGGCATGCAAGAAGGGTTAGGGCCACCCAGTTTCATTGGTTATAGGTTCAGTTACCTAGGACCTTGCCCTCACATTTATGGTAACTATAGGAGGCCTGGTGGGGCGCTGTGGGTTAATGCGCCAGACTGCAAAGCTGTTTGAACAGCAAGGTCAGTGGTTCAAGCTCACCAGCTGCTCCTTGGAAATCCTATACGGGGTCGCTATGGGTCGGAACTGACTCGATGGCACTTAACAACAGCAACATAGAGGAGTAGTGTGGTGGTTACTGTTTAGCCACCTTGGTGGTATGGGTGCTTAGCTTACATAGATGTTTTTCCCTTTCCCACACCCCAAAATCTAATTAAGATGAGTCCCACGGCAGATATCCTCATGCTTCATTCATAGATCAGTGGCTGAAGCAGGGCAGGTGGTAAGTCTCAATGTTACCATGTAAGGGTTGCTAGGGCCAGTTTCAGCTTCCCACAGAGATGAGGCTTTCTTTAGTCTACTGTGGTGAATCCAGGTGGGGACTTCTTTTACCTTGGCTGCTGGGCTTGGGACAATTCCTCATTCCAGTCCCAGTAATCTTTGCATATGCTTCTGGATACCCTCCTGAAAGAAAAATCAGATGCATTCATTATAGTCTGAGCTAAATAGACCCAAATGTGTTTATTCCATTGAAAGGAATAATGTCTTGTGAGAGTCCCATTGTAAAGAGCAGGAGATACATTATTCTAAGGGGTATCTTCTTATCTTTAGTTGAATTTCTCCAGTTGCTTCTGATGTCCAGGTGGTCCTGTTGACTGACGGGTAAGACTTGATTCTGGTATGGGGTGTCCAAGTTTTGAGTCTGAGTCCGGCTAACTTGACGGCTTGACAGGGTGACTAGAAGGACTTCCCAGGGTCCAGTCCATTTTTTTCCCAACTGGTTTTCAGATCCATCTCTCCATGTTCTGAGCAGAACATGATCTCCAGTCTGGAAGGGGTCAGGTTACCTGTAGGGAAGGAAGCAGACATAAGAAGGGCAATTGTACGAATAATGGAAAGTGTGTGGTGGAGGTGTTGTGCATACCACTGCACCTTTAAATCTTGGCTGAGATCAGGTAGAGGGTTGAAGGGAGCTGCCTGTGAAGGTTTACTATATACAATTTTATAAGGGCTCAATTTAAGCCTGCTTCTGGGGGCTACCTGAATTCAAAACAGGGCTAAGTCAACACCTGGTCCCAATGTAGATAAATTTCCTGACAGCTTTGCCATTTGTTTCTTTAGAGTATGGTTCATTTTCTCAAACCTCCATGCTGAATGCAATCTCCATTTCATCAGTAGGTGTTTGCTGCTCCGTTATCATTTTGGCCACTTTGGAAATCCAAACTTGGAGGTAATCTCCTTCAAGAGGATTTTCACTATTTCTGAAGTTCTTAGTTCTGGTGGGGGGAAAGGTGTTTACAGAAACAAAACCAGCAAATATTTAATTCCCCTGCTTGGAACATTTGCATGAAATTAACCTGTCAATTTTCAAGGGGCTGTTTACCTTGATATTGGTACAGGACAGCCTGTTTTGGGATTGTTCTTGAGGCAGATAAAACAGAGATAACATCCTAAATGATTTTTTTTTTAATATTTCTTGCCCTAGAGCCAGGGCCTAATGAACCAAGCCAGGGCCTCTTTCTTTCTTTCTTTCTTTTTAATGTTTTATTGTAAATTATATGATAGTTTACATGGGAGAACTTTAGTTTTACATTCATTCCATCGTATGTCATCTCATTGCCATGGTTCCAATCCCCTCCATGCATCATCAACCACCCAAAGGGTATATCCCTGAAAGCCGCCCCCTATGCTTCCCCTCCTCCCCCCAGTTTTTGACCCACAGTTCCTTTCCTTCTCTGGGTCCAAAGTCCCCATTCGCTTCATCACTCCACGTCATCATCTGTCTCCATCTCAGGCATCTCTGTTTCTATGGGTAGGGTCCTGCTCTCGGCTCTTCTCCGTTGATGGTCACAGAGGCCTCCACTCCTATCCTGGAGAATTAATCACTCCCTTCCTTGTTACAAAACTTCTACCTTTGCATTTCCAACCCTCATAGTCCATCCTGATAAGCATTATTCACTACAGTATCATGAGTTACCCATCTGTATCTCCTTTCATCAGCTCCGCCCAGACAGATTGAATAGTACCTACTGGAGATTCTGCCTTCCGCAGGGCCTCTTTCTTGTAGTGCGTTATTTCATGGACTCATTTAAGAAGAGCAGGGACTAGTTTCACCAGATCAGAACCATTTTATTGGCATTTACTTTCTAGTTTTTAACCTTTCAGAACCAGAACAATTCTGTTGTCATTCACTTTTTATCCTTTAATCTCTTTCTCGAATCCTTCTGCCTCAGTTCTACTCAAGTTCTCTGGGTACACATTCAGTTTTTCTTGCCAACATTTCTAATGCCCTTGTCAGTGCAATCAGTTCAGCTTTTTGAGCTGAGATCCCTGGCAGGAGGGCTATTAAACACCTGCTATCCGAGTCCCTTTTTCCATGTAACTACTTCTATTCATGAATAAAGTCTAGTCCACCAGATATAGTCAGACAGGTTGACTGGGGAATACTTGGTCAGTGATTTCTATACCATCCTGGTTCAGTCCTCCAGTTGCCACATCATGGAGGAGGATGGCAGGTTTAGTCACCCCATAATTCACAGGATAATATTTGGATTGTCCAGTAAAATAACCTGGTTTCACCTATCCATCCTGTTGTGAGCCATAGGCTTCCCTTTTTGCAGCAGGGAGACGGCTTGATGGGGATGGTGATGAGCTGGCCAGAGTGAATTTCTCTGCCTCTTTTCTGAGAGGATATTGGTTTCTGTGGGATGGTCAGCTTCCAGGCTTCAATCACACCTCGAAGGGGGGATGCTGATTGGCTCTCCCTAGAGTTCCGCTAGCCCACATGAGGGGTTTACCTGATTGTTGATCTCCTCAGGCCAATGTGATTGGTTTCCTGAGTTTGAATCAGTAATTGCCAGGCATGTTCATGAGGAACTTCCATGTGCAGACTTTTGGTTTTAGGAAGCTGTTTGAACATGCAACTTTGGAAGCAGGTCCTGGCCCAGTAAGAGAACAAGACAGTCATTTTCTTTTCCCCAATGAAGCAGTCTAAGGGTTTCAGGAAGAACCGGTCCTCAGGCTTCCCTGAGATCTCAGTCACCATTACTGAATGGAACGATCATATTCTGTCCCCTAATGTTATTTTCAGCTGAGGTCCCGGGAGTGGGGACAATAGGGGAGGCAGCGGTTGATGCCAAATCATGCTGGATCCCCTTACCCCCTGATACCATCAGTTTTCTGCAGATAATAAAGTTTGTTCAACCATCTATTGAGTTGGAGGATGGCTTTTTTTGCCAGATCCTCCCCTGAGATTTGGGCATTCATTTTTCCAATGTCCAGGTTTTTGCAATAAGCACATCAGTCCTTGCTTAAGGCCCTCTTTCCTTTCAGAGGTCCTCCCTGGGGTCCCACAGGCTT